GCGCAGAAGGCCAAGCAGGAGTTGCGCAGGGCGGGGCAAGCTTCTCCGAAGGCGGCGGCGGTGGTGCTACGGGCCCGCACCGACCTCGAGAAGGCCTCTGATGCGCACGCGGCGAAGATGGAGGAGAAGGCTGCAGCTGAGACGGCCTACCAGCACGCCCTTTCGACTCTGCAGAGAGAGCAGGCCCGCGATGCGCCCCAGCGGAGCAAGATCGCCATCGATTACGACATCTTCGGGGCCGCGGACCCTGCGGACATGGACGAGGGCGAGAGGAAGACCTTCACGGAGTACCAGAAACAGTTCGACGCGGCTCGGCCCCAGTTGGAGCCCGCGGTGCAGAAGCGGCAGGACCCCATGGAGTCCATCCAGCGTTTCGACCAGGAGCGCGACGCCAAGAGGAGGCGGGGCCAGGAGGGAGCGGGCTCGGGTGGCTCCGAGCCAGCAGCCGTCGGCGCGGCCTCGCCTGCGGCCGCCCCCCCGCCTGCAAAGGCGGCGCCCCCCCCCATCCAGCCGACGGCGAGCGACTCAAGTCTTTGGTTGCTGAGTCGATTCGCCAGGCCGCTGAGCAGGCCAAGTCGGTCCAGCCTATGCCGCCGCCTCCCAAGACACTCGGCGCGGCTTCTAGCTCTGGCGCTTCTGCTCGTGCCCCTCCTCAGGGGTAGTGATGCTCATCCTGCTGCTGCCGAGTCTGAATTGGAGGCCCAGATGTTCTTCGCGAGCATCACTGAACGGGGCCCGCAGGCTGAGAGATGGGCGGCTTCGTCTGGGAAGAGCCACCAGGTTTTGGCTATGGTCGAGACGCGCATCTCTCAGGCAAGCAGCAGCAGCAGGAGTTTCTCAAGCTGGATAAGGATGACTTGCGTTCCTCGAAGTACCATGCGGCCCCGACAGGCCGATCGGCCGGAGGCACGACGGGAGGCGAGATGGTGCTTGCCCGGAAGTCTGCTGCTGCCACCGCCTTCGACGCCATGCGCCAGCAGAGCCGGCAGTTGTATGCAGTCGACCCTTTGTCAAGGCTTCGCCCCCGTGTCGTGGCGTCGCAAGACGGGGGAACTCGTGGTCATAGCGTTCTACATCGGGCCGCGCGACTCGATCACGGGGCCAGTGCACGAGCGCATGGTAGCGCTCACTGCCTTCTTGGGCATGCTGGCGGATCCATGGATTGTGCTCGCTGACGGGAACATGTCATCCCGTGAGTTAGCGGACAGTGGATACCCAGAGGAGTGGGATGGTTATATTATTGTGGTTCCAGGATCAGCCACGTGTGATAAAGGATCGGGCTCAAGCATCGACTTTGATGTGGTCAGGCGTGGCCTTGAGAGATCGGTGGTTCTTCGCCGAGTACATGAAGTACCTTGGGCTACTAATTGCGGACTTGAAGTGTGTGCAGGTGAGTCTCAGCCTTGGCGATACCAGGCCCTGGACCTTCCCGGGGAGCTCCCGTGCCCGCAGCGACCACGGCGCCAGGCGGACCCTAACAGTAGTGCTTCTTCGAGGAAGAAGGCGGCGCTGGAGAAACGACAGAGCCAGCTACCTGACGAACTGCACGATGCATTCCTGGAGGTGTCGCAGGACGCGGAGGTTACTGAGGCCCCGACAGTGCTGGCTGCGGCGGATGTTGACTACGTGAGCGGGATCGACTTCCCCGCCCCCCTCGACCTGTGGAGGCAGCACCAGAATGACAGGAGCGACCCTCTGGACTGCTACGGGGTGGCCGGGCTCCCCGAGAAGGCATGCTCGCAGCGCCCGCCTGGGAGGTCTCGCGTGCTAGAGGGGGGGGCCCGCTTTGTCTCTTGGGAACGACTGCGGCGAAGGACACCCAGCTGGTGCAGTAAGGGGGAAGGGGGGCCCCAAGAGCCCATGCGGGTGGCCACGGGCCTCCAATCGTGGGAGCGCGCCCTTCCCCCTTGGAGCTGTTCGGCGAGGTCGGCTTGATGGATGGGACATTAAGGGGGGATGGGGGCCCCAAGAGCCCATACGGGTGGCCACGGGCCTTCAATCGCGGGGGCGCGCCCTTCCCCCTTGGAGCTGCGTGGCGAGGTCGGCTCGATGCATGCTGGCTCTGATCGCGGCAGCCCCGTGGATGTGGAATACCCCTTGCCCAAACCTTTTGCTCGGCGCGGGGGGGGGGGGGGGGCTTCAGGGTCGACGGTCACTGGGGCTGCCAGGGCGAATTCGGCCCGCCAGAGGCCGCAGGAGCAGCAGTCTTGGGGACTACCTCTTCACTTGCTACGTGGATGAGCTTATTTGGGAAGGTGATATTGCAATATCCTGCCATTCCTGACGCGGGGCAGGCCGATTACAGGGGGCGATCTGGAGGTGCGCGCTTTACTTGGAAGAATACGTCGGCCACCCCGGGGCGCACGCGCATCAAGCATGAGCCTGCGGCGCGGCGGGCAATCACATCGACGCTCGTTAAGAATATATCGGCGCTGTGCAAGTCAGACGCATGAGGACTTGGTTAAGCTCAACTTGACTATCCTGCAGCGACGGATCGCAGGCGTGGAGGCTAAGCGAGAGAAGTTGCTGCCTAAGGTGGAGGAGGATGATGTCTCCAGGTGGGCTGTGCTGGCGCGCGCTATCGCGGTGCTGGACGACGACGAGCGGTCTGAGCTCATTGGTCGTACGGAGGCTTGGGCAGGACGTGCCGCTGCACGCGCCTCCTATCAGTCGAAGAAGAAGTACGCTGGCTGGCTGGCGGGTATGCGGAAGGCGAAACCTAGAGTCTTGCATCGCCAGGTGAAGCCTCAGGAGCAGCAGCGCTTGGAGATCTACGCGAGTGGCAACGCCATCGCGAGTCCCACGGTCATCGTGGAGATCAGAGACAGGGGTGGGAGCGTGTTTGGCAGCCACGTGAGACGAAGCAGCCGATCCTGGACGCACTGGGCAAGGCCCGACGTCGGATTCGAGAGGGCCCTCCGGTGGTGATCTCCCTGGGCGACCCCCAGCGCGCACTTCAAATCGCGCCAGGTGCGAAAGCCAAAGGGGTGGATATGATCGGACCGCGTGACATGCTACGACTACCTGGGGAAGCGTTGCAGCAGTACACGGACCTACTCAACATCATAGAGACTGAAGGAGTCTGGCCTCCCCAAGTGATGGCCACTTTGTTGCGATGGCGCCGAAGAAGGCGGGTGGTGATCGAGTGCTGGGGGTTCTTCCTCATATCGCTCGCACCTGGAGCCGTATACGAGGTGACGCCTCAGACGGTTGGAGTGACGGATTACATGACTTGTGGTGCACAGCGATGCAGGGCTCCTCGGCCTTGTCTGCGGCGCTCCATCGCGCATTCTTGGACGAGTCTGCGGTGGCTCTGGGCCTGGCGGTGGGCGCGCTGCTGATGGACTTGGCCACATTCTATGACCACGTGAAGCTGGCTCGCCTGGTAGAGGGGGGGTTGGACGAGGACTTCCCTGCCATCTGTTTACTCTTACAGGTCCAGCTCTTCCTCAGCCCGGGGATATTGCGCGCGCGTGGATGGGTTGCTGAGCCGATATATATGTATATATATATATATATACATATCGATATATATATATATATACATATATATATATATATGTGCACGTCAGGGGATTGTGGCAGGGTCCCCGAGAGGAGTCATTCTAGCTCGCCTCTTCTTGCTCCCGATATTGACGCATGCTCAACGGCGTGCGGAGGGGGCGGCAATGTGGACTTCCGTGGATGATACCGTGGCGAGGTCTGGAGGCACAGCACGAGCGGTTCTGCAGCAGCTGACCAAGGCTGGTGGTGAGTTGAAGTCGGCGCTTGATCAGGCGGAGCTTCCCGTCTCGCACAAGACTGTGGTGTTCTCGAGCAACAGGCAGGCAGGTGCGAGAACGATTGGAGCGCAACCTACGTCGGCGAGGAGTTCCTGTCTCTGCGGCGACTACGGCCACGGACCTGGGCGTTGACATGGCTGCGGACACGCGCAGGGTCCAGAAGAAGGCGGGGGAACGTGCAAGAGCGGCCTCCACCAGGACCAAGAAGATCGTGCGCATGAGGGGCACGGCACAGCAGGCTCGCATCGCCAAGGAACTGTGGGCCACTGGCTCGCTCCCCCAGGGAGTGTATGGCCATCAAGTCCGGGGGCTCGCTCGACATGCCCTACTTCGATGGCGTCGACAAGCGGCAGCTGCGGCCACTGGTCAGGCAGCGGGTCGCTGCCTCACGACTCTCTTGGGGGTCACTTTTGACGGGGCCGGCCCTGGAGTCCAGCTTCGAGTGCAGCTATTTCGACAGTGGATTCGGTACTGGCAGGATCAGCCGCACCTGCACCAGCGCATTCAACGGACTTGGTCGTTGCTCAGGACCAAGCTCACCATCGCGGGCCCGAAGATCTGGTCAGATGTTACAGGACCGACGGGTGCAGCGATTGCGACACTCTTGGAAGCTGGCTGGGATCCCAAAGCGGCTGACTGCTGGCAACGTGTGCATGATGAATACTTGGAGGAATGGAGACTCCCAGGTGATGGAGTTGAACTAGTCGGCCTCGACTACGATCCCGTCCTCGACGATTTCAGCGATTACCTCCAGAGCAGGCTCTGGTCGACGGCAGCGGCGCACGAGCACGGTGCCTCCCTCGCCTCGGGAGCTGACCTGCTCACGCTCAAGATCGAGCAGCGGAGGTTTTTGTGGAGTGGAAAATTGCCCCCATGGGTTTTTAACAACTGTGTGGTCTCAGGGGGTCAGTGGACTCGAGAGCGCCTCCGTCAGGCTAGGTATCTGGTCACTCGTCTGTGCGATCGTTGTAACTCTGGGGCCATAGAGGACCTCCCCCACAGACTTTGGAAGTGCTCGGCTAATCAGGGCCTTGAGGCTTCAGCCAGCGATCACCTTGTGCCGCAAGCGTTCGCGGGTCTAGAGCAGGACCTAGCTCTTTGGCTTCGAGGTGTGCCTCGCCTTTCCTCCACTATTCCTTCATCTGCCTCGTGCGACGGGGGTGGGGTGGAGGTGGTGGGTCCTGACAATGAAGGTCGTCCTCAGTGGGGAGCTGGCAGAGACCCCATGGGCGCCTCACTTTGTTTGGGGACGGCTCTGGAGGGGCCTTTTCTCAGATGATCCTCGGAAGCGCCGATGCGGGTGGTCGGTTGCGGCACTTACCCCAGACGAGGCAGGCCTGTGGCGAGGCCGGCCACTCTGGCCTTTTCGGCCCGCTTGAAGGGAAATGGCAGACGGTCTCACGTGCTGAATTGCTAGCGTTTTGCATTGCGGTTGAAGAAAGCTCGGGGCCTCTGACGTTTGTGACCGACCAGAAGCCTCTCCTCAACGGATGGGGTCAAGGTTGGGCTCGGAGATCTCCTGGAGCTTGGACTCGGCGCCTCAAGAACTGTGACCTCTGGGCCAGGCTGCGCAGGGCCTTGGATCAAGAACCTTTTTGCGCGATGTGGCCTTGGTGTGGGCCCCGTCCCATCGGGGTGAGACGCCTGAGGCCATAACCAACCCGTTTTATGCTTGCGGTAATATTGTGGCAGATGCGTGGGCTGGCAGAGGTGCTGCCAATAATTGGGCCGCAGCGTGTCATCCCATCCCGTGCACTGATCAGTGGGATGCGACAGCGGCCCTTGTCCGTGCAAGAGCGAGGGCCACCATCAAGAGCACCGGCTCCAACAAGGTGTTGAGGGGAGAGAGAGAGCGAGAGAGAGAGAGAGAGAAAGAGAGAAATAAAGAAAATGTCACTCGTCAGGCTCCCTTGTCTATTCGTGCTCTGTGCCTCAAGGCCTCGACCCACCAGTTCGAGCGTTGCGAAGATAAGTGGAGGTGCGCCATATGCGCGCAGCTGGTGGATGATTGCAGATTGGACGAGACGGCTCTCGCCCAGTTCCCTGGCCCGCCCCCTGCGCCTAGCCCTGTCGCTAGGCAGCTGTCGCGTCTGGGGGAGGCGGTGGCGTTGGAGGCCGGGGGGGGGGGGATCTCAACGGTCAGTCTGCACACCCCTCACACCGCTTGGTTGAGATACCTAAGTGGGTGGGTGTTTCTGCGCGCAGCGCGTGGTTCACACGCCACCTTCAGATTTGTGAATATCTTGAGTCTTGCCCGCCCAAGCCTTCGCCCAAGGGTCAGGAGGTGTTGAGCCGTGTCATGAGAGGCTTGCATCCTTCCCACACGGGCCCTTCTCGGGCCGTCCGCGTGGCGCAGCACCGCGATGCTGTGGAGGGCCCGAGCCAGTGCGACGAGCCACACTGCGGCGGTGCAGGACCCAGACAGTTCTGAAGTATCGGATGAACTTTCTGAGGGCCGAGGAGCGTTGATGGGTGTGGGGCGCGGCGGAGGAGGAGCGAGGGGCCCGTCGTCGTCGTCTGTGGCAGAAGGGAGCGAGGGCGCGCGCGTGTTGCGCGCGGTGGCCGCGCGGCTGCGCGCGCCGCCCTCGTCCACGGGCCCGACTGCGCCGCGTTCAGCGCCGAGGACGGCCCCGCCCCTGCTCCCCCCCCCCCCCCCGCCCACTCATCGGATTCTTCTGACTAGGCGCGTAGCCTGGGCCTGTGGCCCCTCCTCGTGCGGAATCCTCAGCCGCTTTGCACGTAGCCCAGTCCTCCTCCCTCCTCCCCTCCTCCTCCTCCTCCTTCCTCCTTCTCCTCCTCTCCTTCTCCCCTCCGCCTTCTCCTCCTTCTTCCTCCTCCTCCTCCGTCCTCCTCCTCTCCCCCTCCCCTCTCCTCCTTCCTCCTTCCTCCCCCCCCTCCCCTTTCTCCTCCTCCTCCTCCTCCTCCTCTTCCTCCTCCTCCTCCTTCCTCCTCCTCCTCTCCTCTTCCTCCTCCTCCCCCCCCCTCCTCCCCCCTCCTCCCCATCCTCCTCCTCCTTCCTCCTCCTCCTCCTCCTCCTCCTCCTTTTCCTCCTCCTTCCTCCTCCTCCTCCTCCGTCCTCCTCATCTTCCTCCTCCTCCTCTCCTCTCCTCCTCCTACTCTCCTCCTTCCTCCTCCTCCTCCTCCTCCTTCTCCTCCTCCTCCTCCTCCTCCTCCTTCCTCCCTCCCCGTCCCCCTCCTCCTCCTCCTCCTCCTCTCCTCCTCTCCTCCTCCTCCTCCTCCTCCTCCTCCTCCTCCTCCTCTCCTCCCCCCCTTCCCTCCCCCCTCCTCCTCCTCCTCCTCCTCCTCCTCCTCCTCCTCCTCGTCCTCCTCATCCTCCTCCTCCTCCCCGTCTTGGGTAGCTTTTCAGGCCCTGCGTCTGCGCTGCCGTCAATCTGCTGCAGGTGCAGTCGGCCGTCGAGGCCGTGAGTGTCTTTCCAGCTGGCGTGCCAAGCTGGGGCGCATGATAGATAGCATGCAGCCCGTCGAGGGCGTTATCTCTGCCTCGATGCTCGTGGAGCTCGCTAGGGACGCCTCAGAGGGAAAACTCCAGGGGGACTCGGAGGTGCTGGAGGAGTTAGACAAGGAGGTCTGCAGGAGGAGGAAGCAGGACGCTAAGGAAAGCCTGAAGGAGTGGAAGGAGTGGGCGGTGGGGTCTGTCAAAGGAGGAGGCAAAGCAGCGCATGCGTTTTCAAGGCGAACTCTGTCGAGCCCCACGTCCCTGCTGAACGAATCAGGCCACCCTGTTTGTGGGCAAGAGGCTCCCAGTTTTCTTCTGCAGGTCTGGACGCCGCTCTGGATTGCAGCGGGCCGAGGGGCCCATCACCCGTCGTCTTGGACGATCCCGCCCGAGGAGTCCGAGCTGCCGCCCATCTCGGAAGACCAGCTTCGAAGGGTATGGTGTGGGATGGCTTCCATCCGCGTTGGGTTCTGGATCTAAGCGGGGAATATGTTGCTGGGTTGGTCGACGTGCTGCATCAGTTCGAAAAGGCCCCGCAAGACCTCTTGTTGTTCATGACGAATATAGTGTTCATCGATAAGAGTGATGGGGGGGGGTCGTCCCATTGGGCTTTTGGCGTTCTTCGCGAAGATATGGTCCAGGGTCCGTCAACCGCTGTTCAAAAAGTGGGAGCCGGCGCATATGGAAGATGTGTTCTGGGGTGTTAGCAGTGCCACCACATGTGAACGGGCGGGGTGGATACATAACCTGCTGGGCAGCTACTGTAAGAGTGTCGGGTTCGAGTCTGGCACCGCTTTACTAGATCTGTCAAAGTTCTACGAACACATTGGCCACGAGGATCTGTGCCAAGCTGCTCTCCAATTCGGGTTTCCCACTCGGCTGCTACGGTGCCTGTGCACGGTGCACACATGCCCTCGCGCGCTGCTCTACGGCGGCGCGGTGCCCAGCATCGTGCGCGCGAACGGCTCAGTTATAGCAGGCTGCAGTGGGGCGACGAGTTTGGCTAAGCTGCTCCTGCTAGGGCCCTTGTTGAAAGCCAGAGAGGGGAGACCGCAGCTATACATCAGAAGCGCGGTCGATGACATAGCACTGCAGGCGTGTGGAAGGGCTATCCAGGTCGCGTCGGTTCTCAGCTCGGGTGTCGAGTCGCTGCTCGGGGACTTCGAT